ACTAGGTGCGTTTCTTTAAGTCTTCCTACCAATATGACCGAGTTGCGAAAACAAGGTCAAATAACTTCTACTGTCAGCCAACTAGCTCCAGTCTCGGCCGCGTCTATCCTGTTTCTAGCGCTAATACCAAGTCTATGACTTGCTATGACTTAGTCTCTTGTCTGCCAACCCACAAACGGTGGTATTCAACATTGAACCTAATCAAAGCAAGCAGGGGAGTGCTAATAACGTCTCGAGTAGCACAGATGTGGTGGCAGGGGTCGAGTGAAATACGTGAACCAGAGAGAGACCAGACGGATCTTACGAGGCAAGAGAGAGACTGTGATAAGGCCTAGGGAAGGAGGACTGCCTAACAATATGGCAGAGTCTGATCAACATACCCAACACACGAGTGAAGGTGTGGAGAAGGATAGCGTCGAGTGTGAAGGATGTTCATGAATGCCGCTCAAAGGAGCACACCACATTACATCGAAAAAAGTACGGTAAACATTGTAAGAGTGAAGGCGTGATACGAGGATATAGGAAATGTGCATAGCCCAGGGCAGAAGAAGAGATACCACGACTGTTTAGTACACGTTTGGTCAAAGGATAGGCTTCACGTATCTCTTTGACGATTTGTTATGTGGTGCTAAGATTGGGGAGACTCTTTGACGATGCCAAACATCTGGGAATGTCCCACGCCCACGGTCCTACTCTGGAAATGATTATGCATACAATGGACTCCGGACTAGGTGTGTTCTTCTAAGTCTTCCTACCAGCATGACCAAGTTGAGAAAACAAGGTCACACAACCTCAATAAATAAATTAGTTTACGATCATCTCGTGTTTAGGCCTTTGGATGCATAGAAATGTGTTTGCCCTCGTTTTCGCATCTTGGTCTTGTTGTCATTGCGACTTAGTAGAACACACCTTGTCCTAAGTCCTCTGCTATAATAGCTAGCACAATTCCCAACGTCAGACAGTAGACTTGGTATATTCTCACACGTTTCGCCGATATCCTAGTCAGCATTATCAGTGAGTTTTGTCGTTCTCAGCGCCAAGCTACAACTCGTCAGTGAGATAAAGAGGATCTCGGACAAGATGAGTCGTAGCTTGGTGTTGAGAATGGCAAGACTCCCTGAAGATGCCGATTACAATGCCGGCGAAATATCCGAAAAGGTACCAAGTTCACACTCTGATGCTGGGAATTATGATAACTACTATGGCAGAAGACTTCGGACAAGGTGCGTCCAACTAAATTACCCTAACAACAAAACCAATTAGCGAAAACGAGGTCAACCACTGAATGTAGCTGCAGTCTAGCTCCATCTAAGTTTACTCACCAAATAAGTGCAGTCTCAAACGTCCATAAATGTTCAGTGTCAGCACAACAATTTCTGTGTTACTGGCATGGATGAAAGGCGTTATGTGGACTGTATCAACTTGTACGTCATTGTAGCCCAAAACGAGTAGAGGACAATGCGAATTAGTCGTCACCTTCTTTGGGGATTGGGCCATGACTCTCTTCATTAAGCACTTTCACACAAAACAAAAGTCACCACATTGCCCTTTATATGATAGTGATTGTGGTAATTTCTAAAGTTTGTCCTATCTTCTGCATAACTGCAAACTCGCCATACCCAACCTGGTTTGCTGTATTATCATCAAATCACCTCTTCGATGTCCAGTTTATCTACTACCTACCGGCGAATCGTATTCTCACTTATCATCATGTCTACAGCCCATAGCACACTTACAAAGCACACATATGCACACTCAATGAGCCTAGATGATGACACAAAAGACAATTCACATGCAAACTCCTTGACATACACTACCGTGAGTAGTTGGTCCCACTGTTCTAGCAGTCCTGTCAACAGTGGTATTTTCTATTTCCGCATACATATTGTTCCGTTGTAGTTGCGTGTATGTCGGCTGTCTGTGACTGTGTGTCCGCTGAAGTCGGTTGGGATCTATTAGTGCGCCCAGTTCTGCCCACCTTCTCGTTGGTGCAGAGCCGGAAACGTCAGCGATCACATGTTGGTCGTATCGATACAGACAGAGACACAGAGGTGCACATCATCCCCGAGTCTGGAGGACTCTCAACTCAGGAGGATGCTATTCCGGACAGTCGTCTGTCTCTTTTGACGCTTACCAAGTGCCCATCTCTGCCTGCAGCGCTGCCGGGCAACGAGGTCTTCTGCCGTCCAGACCAATGCCTTCCGAGATCCCTTGTCTGTCTGCGCCAACCTGTCTGGTAGAGGTGGTCTATTTTGTGTGTCCACCGCTTCTCTATCCTCATACAAATCAGGAAGGCTGTCGGTCGTGTGTGTGTGTGTGTGGACGTTTTGTAGATAGTCCAGTGTGATATCTAGAATAGGACGCGTAGACACGTTGGGGTGGCGACAAATCCCAATTTTCTATAGGCTAAAAGAGTCTGTTTTCGCCCGGCCAAGTGAAAAGGTGATGCATCCCAGTTTGTGACTGGACAAAAGGCTGCAGGCCTGTTAACAAGGCCTTCAAGGAGAGACATAGAGACTGTAACTGGCCAAGTCTGACCGGACGACGGTGTAGTTGGCTGCCTGTACGAGCCTGTGTCTTGGCCAAGTGGTATAGATGAAGCGAAAATGAGGCAAAAGGAGAGAACGGGCACTACTTGCGCTACCAGCGGGGGCTGGGGCTAGCGACATTTCTGACCCGGTCTCTCAGGCCGTCCACTCCCCTCGCCTCTACTCCCTGGTCAACGTGTGCTCCGACCACACATACAGACTTCCCCTACCTTCGTCTTCCTACCCCTTCTCCTCCTCCACCTTCTACTCCTTCTCAGCCTCCTCCTCCTCCTCCTCCTCATCCTCATCATCATCATCATCATCATCATCATCCTCTTCCTTCTCTTCCTCCTCCTGCTGCCTCCAGACTGGCTTGCCTCGTCCGCCCGGGCCCTCTTCCACTGGACGGAACTGCGGCCGTACGAAGGGAAGAGCAGACGCTCCAGTCCAGTTGGCCGCAGTACCCGGTCGTGTCCACTTTGCCCACATCAGCTGTCCACCAGTCACTGTCGCCTTTGGTCCGTCTGCTACAGCTGACCTCCTGCAGACTGTCAAGTGACGACGTCGTTCGGACTTAACCAACCTGCGTCACGCCGAATAGTCGTTCCAGCGTCATCGGTCTTGCAGCCGCCATTGCAGACCAATTTGTAATGCGGCCAATGCGAAGAGAATGAAGACGAGCAGGCAGACGTTGATGCTTGGGCCAAACTCGAGTCCAGCGAAATCGACTGTAATGGCAGCACAATAGACCCGAGCATCAATCAAGGTATATTTAAGTTCACCTAAAAGCTCTCAGAAAGATACCAACAACACATACACACGCACACAGACAGACAGGCAGACTGAAACGAGGCGACATTTGTGCTCGTCTGCCGTTGTGCTGCTATGTGCACTTGTGAGATGATTCTCAAGACCCATCAGTGGACACCGATCGAGGCTGCGTTAGTTGCTACACCCAAACACAGGCTCGGACGGAGATCAAAAGGACGCGGTGGGTGAGATAGAAAGAGCGGTGGGAGAAGAGAAAGGGTGTGATAAAGCAGGAAAAGTCAAAACGAGCTGTGTGATCCACGCCGATTCTCACGGCCTCGGTCACCAGGAGGCACCGGAACTAACCGATCTCAGTTGCTTCGTGATCCGACCCGCCATGTTGTTGCCTTCATTGTTTCACCGGAGCCTGCGAATTGAGCCATTAATTGGTCGAATTGGTCGTTCTCAAGCACTGCTTCACACCATTTGGCACATCAAGTGTGCATTAATTAGTGAACACGACGTTTCCACTCCCAGAATCAGCAAGCTCGAGACCCGACAGCCATCCAACTAGACTCCAACCGCAAATGTGCTGACCTTTCACCCCCACCCCCACCTTCTCGCCTCACTTCTAAACACACGCACACTCTGGTCATTTGGCTCTCAGCTCTCGGTTCCCCAAAGATTTCCGCAAGTTTAGCCGGTACCATTTGACAACTCTACCAAACTCCTCGAAAGCAGATGGCCTCTTACATCGTAGCTTCGCCACGAGGCAATGTAAGTTCGAATCATCATGTTTAGCCGAGTTGTTATGCATGCATTTGTCGTTGTTTTTTTCAGAAGGCCTGAACCAAACCCGTGAACAATGCTGGTGATAGGTTTAGGCATAGATTGGTCGACTTTCAGAACCCTACGGTCCATGGGACCTTTTGTAGGCGTGTAAAGGGAGGAAAAAACGTAGTGGCCTGCGGCTGAAAGGAAGGTTAAATTGGATAGTCCTCGTTTTCACAGCATGATCATGTTGTCAGGACGACCTACATAAGCACACCTTGTCAGAAATCCCCTACCGGAGTGGTCATAATGATTTACAATGTGGGACCGTGGACTTGGTACATTCACAGACGCTTCGCGGGCACTGTACGTGAGTCTTGACTTTTTGACTAGTTGAAATATGATGCTAAAATGGCAAGATTACTGGAAATGTACCAGATCCATGGTTTGACGATGGAAATTATCGTGACTATTGATAAGATGTGTTCATCAAAGCCACATTGGCAACACTAAAAAAGACTGTGACTAGAATAAATAATAAACACGGCGTATTAGCAGCCT